TTTGCTGAAATAATACTATGGCAAATGGCAAAACTACGAAATGTACAACGCTAACGAATTCAAACTATTATGCACTACCATTAATATTATAGATTCGCTCTCACGGGCTAACAAAATTTATAGCAGCGAAATTAAACTCGCGTGAAAACACACAAGAGTAACATAATTTTTGGTGTACATAAAACTCGATTCTATAAAAGTAATAATTCGCATACCTATACGATACCTTGCACAAGTATAGCAATCAAAAGTATCCAGAGTACAATGTGCACACATATGTTGATACATAACAAATTACATGACCCTGTACAGGAGTAAACAACCCACCCCAACCTGACAAACATAAATGAAAAAACATTATCTCATATACATTACTAGCACGAAACTCCCATTACATCTGTATTTAAACCTAACAATCATATAAAAGCCTCACCAACCAAAAACGGACATCTCCATATGAAATTATAAAGGAGTAATCAAATACATCCCTATATACAAAAAAATATATATTTCTATATGCATTTTAATGTATTTCTTTGACAAGCATATTAAGAATAGTTTAACCTTAAGATTTATAAAACTTCAATTAATCATTATAGCAATTGAATCAAATTAAGATTTTTCTTAAGTCATGAATCTTCTATTTTTTAACAAGATCTTTTATAAAGTTTATTATATATATATTTATTTTTACAACATTAGTCTTAATAACATTTTAATGGTTCAATTGTTATTATTTCAACAGACAACAACAATTAATCTTAAGAACACTGAGTTATGATCTACTCTAAAGCAGCATATATTGAATTAGAAGATTTGTCAAAATGTTTTCATATACACATCACTTAGATATACCAAAAATGTTGTGTTTTTAGATTAAAAGTCATACAAGATAAAACGTGAAAGATACTGTATCTTACACAATAAAACATTATGCAAAGACTTTAATAATGTTAAAATTTAATTATTGAATGTATTTTTAATGTCAGGTTTTAAAATTTTTCACAAAATTACTTGAAAACTAAGTTGTTCATAACAGCATTAGTGGAAAAATATATGTATGTAGTTCACTTACAAATAAATACAACTTGATTAGTGTTTCTGTCAAGACACAGTGTAGTAATGTGATATATATATATATATATATGTAGTTCACTTACAAATAAATACAACCTGATTAGTGTTTCTGTCAAGACACAGTGTAGTAATGTGATATATATATATATGTGTAGTTCACTTACAAATAAATACAACTTGATTAGTGTTTCTGTCAAGACACAGTGTAGTAACGTGATATATATATATATATGTAGTTCACTTACAAATAAATACAACTTGTATATTTGACTGAATGTCACTAAGAAAGTCTGTCAAAGTTAAACATACTTGATTGTTCAAATGTAAATCACTATTATACTTTTAATACACCAAGCAGTTGTATATGATGGACATTTTATTGTTTATGCCACAAATAAAGTATTTATATCATCTATATTTAGTGATAGTTTGTACTAACTTCACTAATATTTCTGAACCATCTACACTGGTCTCTTGGTTTGTGACATAACCAGTGTCTGAAACTAAAGTATATTCAATATGACATTTCTGAGGTGACACCAAAACAGAACTTTTATATTGTGTCTCAACTTATATCATTTAATTCAATAGTGTAGACTTGACATTACATGACCATGACCAAATGAATAGCAGGTGAAAACTATAAATTGGATGTTAAGTTCATTCTTAGTAAGGAAACTGAATATAAGGAACAACAGAAAACCCATCTACAGACAAAATGAAGTATGACAGCATCAGCATGTATTCTTCTTAAATGATGCCACTCCTTGTCAAATTATTTTCAAAGCTGCACCTTTAGATGGTAAACTAAAAACTGATTTTGTCAAGGTAAAAACTGCTTTACACGTGGAGTGCTTATCAGTATCCTTGAATGTAAGTCTTGTTTTCTTTAGACAATAAATAACATTACTAATAACTAACAACTGTTAAAACACGTACGATAAACTTACCACAACCACTTTTTAGTACATGTCTATATTCAGGTTTTAAGCCCAAGCAAATTATATATGTAATTGACAATGAATATATATATATATATATGGTAAATAAAAACAGGTTATGAGTATGTAATTGACAATGAATATATATATATACTATAGCATTATTCAAACTTGTGGAAAGATATTTATTAGCTTTATTAATTATGCAGTGACTATCTTGTATAGGAATGATATTTTTTTCATATTTATCTCAAATTTGCATTTATTTTTATGTAACGCAGTAACTAATGATGTAAGAAACTCATTACACAAGCATGCAAAATTATTTCATCAACAGGAGACTCCAGATGAGCAGCAGTGGTAAGGCCAATTATTTGTATATTTAAATTTAAGTCATGTCTGTTATGTTTTTATATTATTGGTCAGGAATAAGTAGTTGTTTCAACACATCATAGCTACCAGTAATATACCTTTAAAAAATACCCCAAGATATATTTTATAATAACACATGGACTACATAAAAGAAAATTTTGCTAAACCCTAAAAAAAAGATATAAAATATTTATAAATCACAAGCTTCATTATATATCTAAACAATATCCTGTTAATATGCTTCTTGTGTAAGTAAAACCTGTTAGTTTATAAATGACAGCTTTAGGTGTTCAGTATTATAATTTCTTATTTAGATCTGAGCAGACACTATCATTCTCAGGTCATTTTTCATCAGCTCATGTCTGGGTTTTTCTGTACTGCAATACCTTGAATTTTATTATTCTCACAAGTTTAATAATTCCTTTTCTTGTTAAAGAAATACATATTCCCCAATTTCAATCAATTTTCTTCCTTCTGTAAAAGTATTTAATAAGAAGTTTGGAATAATTTAACATTCACTTTTTATTTTTACCTAATTTTAAAAGAAACTTTTCTGTGTAATTTTAAATGTGAATATAATTTTGGACCATATTTATTTAGGAAAATTCATGTAACTACTACAGCATGCAATCAGTTTGTGTCTTAGTCCTTTCATTAAATAAAAAACAAACAAATAAACCTATAAAAAAATAAATAGAAACACTCCTGATCTAAAGTTATTTCTCCAATATTGACAGATCACTGTCAGGTAAAAAAAGACTCAAGCTCCAACTAAAGCAGTACACAATTCAAGAGTGAACACTACCACATGTTTAAGTAATATACAATTTTAACAGTGTGAATGTGAACCTGAAGTACTTGTGAATCAATAAACCCAATGTCCACCACAAATACAGTGTATCTGATGTCCTACAAACCTTATCTATGAATAAGAAGGAGTTTAATATTCTACTCAATCTACCTCAGGTTCGGATACATAGTGTTACCTGATAATCATATAAAACTAAATGAAATGCATAGTCTTGATCTAAGATATAGTACCACAACTTTATATAAGAATCACATAATGCTAAATATTCTTAACAGTTTTACTTGGGGTCTAGTACCACATACACATACTACAGATCGTTAACTAAAATACATAAATCTAAGTATGTTTCACAGTTTTACCTATGACTAGTACTACACATACACTTCACTCATTTATCTAAGAATAAAAGTTAAATATTTCTATAGTTCCCCTTGGATCTAATACCAACTTTCATTACACCCCTTTATCCAAGGATCACTGAAAAGTAAGTAGTCTTTATAGTTTTACTTATGATCTTGTATCACACACAAAACTACTTTAGTTAGTATCATAAAAAACTAAGTTTTATATAACAGGAATATTCAGGTAGTGGTCCAGTTATGCCATGCCCAAACAAATAATAGAGATTAAACAGTAATAGTAATTATTAGTTATCTGAGAGTAAAATCTAACATGGTCCTTAGAATGAACAGAGATAGTACCAGTAATTATTAATTATCTGAGAGTAAAATATAACAGGTATAATATAACATGGCCCATACAAAGAACAGAGATAGTAACAGTAATTATTAATTATCTGAGAGTAAAATATAACAGGTATAATATAACATGGCCCATACAAAGAACAAAGATAGCAATTATTAATTATCTGAGAGTAAAATATAACAGGTATAATATAACATGGCCCATACAAAGAACAGAGATAGTAATTATTAATTATCTGAGAGTAAAATATAACAGGTATAATATAACATGTCCCTACAAAGAACAGAGATAGTAATAGTAGTTACTAATTATCTGAGAGTAAAATATAACAGGTATAATATAACATGGCCCATACAAAGAACAAAGATAGCAATTATTAATTATCTGAGAGTAAAATATAACATGGCCCATACAAAGAACAGAGATAGCAATTATTAATTATCTGAAAGTAAAATATAACAGGTATAATATAACATGGCCCATACAAAGAACAGAGATAGCAATTATTAATTATCTGAGAGTAAAATATAAGAGGTATAATATAACATGGCCCATACAAAGAACAGAGATAGCAATTATTAATTATCTGAGAGTAAAATATAACAGGTATAATATAACATGGCCCATACAAATCTCTACTTTGTTCATATCTATGTCTGATATTATAACGTACAGAGTCAATTTAACCATATGACACAGTTACTCTATGGGATTTAAGAGAGTTTATTCCTAAGTTTCAAACTAGGTGCTACTAAAATAATTGTAATACTTGGTTACTACTAAAATAATTATAATACTTGGTTACTACTAAAATAATTATAATAATTGGTTACTACTAAAATAATTATAATAATTGGTTACTACTAAAATAATTATAATAATTGGTTACTACTAAAATAATTATAATAATTGGTTACTACTAAAATAATTATAATAATTGGTTACTACTAAAATAATTATAATAATTAGTTTCTACTACAATAATTATAATAATTAGTTACTACTAAAATAATTATAATAATTAGTTACCACTAAAATAATTATAATAATTGAAAGAAAGCGCAGTTCTACTGTAAAACTAAATCCTGTTCTACCTGAGAACAAGGGGTTGTGAGAGTTCCAATGTAACTTCTTGAAAATCACCCGCACTGTGGTCCTCATCAAAGTCTTCAAGGTGCTCAGCGGACTGAACATCGGGACTCAGTCGGTGTTTCTTACGGAAGGCAGGGCGATGTCGGTATTGTCCCGCAGATTTGGTTGCCCAGTCAGAATTTCTGCTGCTAATCCCAGTGTTGGAAGAAAACATTATATCAAACACCGAAACGTAAATATTGTTTTCGAATCTTAATGATATAAATATGATCGTGAAACTGTTTAAACATTTCACCGAACAGTGTCAAATTCTTTAATACACAAACGCTAGTCAATACAACGGAAATAGTTAACATGCACAGGTGTAATATAATAAAAGTTACTGAAAAATATTATTTTCGAATGTCGACTTTCAATTCATTTCCATTTTAAAAGTTTTGACTGAACAAAAAAATTATGCCTAAACACACGAGCACAAATCCCGAAAATTGGTAGAATAAGTTGATCTCATAGGAATAACTGATGAGGCCAAGAAATAAAAACAGCTATAATAAAAAACGGAACATTCGGCACATAGGATGACATTAATCATTCGCGCCATTTCCGTCTCTACACTTGGGCAATGTCGTTATTCACGTTCAGTGTGGGAGGAATGTTATCATCCTGGAACATACACACTCAACTTTACGGATCACAGAGTAACCTTACAAAACTTATTGAAACAAGAACCAGAATTAACATACCCTTTGTAGCAACGGATAACGTTCAACATGAAATCCTTGAAAACTAAAAACACTCGCGATTCTATTAGTCACCTTTATCACATTTTAAACGATTTATCTTATCTTTTCAACATGGAAGCTACCACACACCCAAACAAAGATATATTTCAATACGCAAAACCTGAACTAGTGTTAATTTTTTTAATTGGTGTTTCATTTTCATTACAACTGTTTGATATGCACTTATACATATTGTTGCCTATGGTATGCGTTTTTGCGTCTATACGTATTACACTAACTGTATGTGTAAGTGCTTAACTAGTTTTGTACAAAATCTACAAACGAAATTGATAAATAGATTAGATTCTATTTTTTACTGAAATATACCAAAAATTTTCGAACAAACTACTAAGCGTTACACGACAATAACTATAGCTTAGTCGGCCTGATGAGCTCTGGAATTGATGGAAAGGCCTCATCGACAGCGATGTGTATTTGAAATAATACACTCTTATACAGAGAAATTTGTAGTGAGCAAGTAAATAATGATGTGATTTAAATTAATACCAGTCTAACAGTATTAAATACGTATAACTGATGAACCTGACAACCAATTTAATAAATTCTTATCCCTCTTTTTTTTTCCTGATTAAACTGAATGCAAACAAATTTCCAGATTTCTCTTCTTTTCGTTATGGTATGTAATAACATGCCATTTCTGTAACATCTCCTGAAGTAATTCCACGCAGAAACGTTTTCAGAAGCGACTATGCCACTGTCTCCTCCATCATTTGTACCTCGAGTTCAGGTTCAAATGGGATCTTGAGACTGTTTTGTAATTTCTCCTTGGCTGGTTATTCTATCATTTCCTTTATCCTTGGGTTTTTTCTTCAGTTAGGTAGCTTGCAATGTTTTGAACGTTCATCGAAAAGAAACATCTGTATATAATGGATTTTTTTTCACAGGGGAATCTACCTCAAGTACATTCACGTGGTGTCTAGTATTTCGTTATTTGCAAACGCTGAGGAAGACAAATTTCTCAATTTCATAAGTAGACGGCTCTCTAAATCTTACTGATATCCAACTGTCTGCAGTAACTATATCTAGTCTTTCCTGATGTACAGTATAAATAGACTTTCCTTCAGCTGGTTTCGTCTAACGATGTCAAACTATTTCTATACAAATTACAATAATTGAAGTCCGATAGTTTTATAAATACCTTTTCATACTAAAGTTCTAAATACAGATATTAGCTGGATTTGAATGATCCGCGTGTACTAATCATCTCGGAAATACTTTGAGGATCATGTGCTGAATGATACGCATGTATTAATCATCTCGGAAATACTTTGTGGATGATATGCTGAATAATACGCGTGTACTAATCATCTCGGAAATACTTGGAGGATGATATGCTGAATAATACGCGTGTACTAATCATCTCGGAAATACTTGGAGGATGATATGCTGAATGATACGCGTGTACTAATCATCTCGGAAATACTTGGAGGGTCATGCGCTGAATGATACGCGTGAACTAATCATCTCGGAAATACTTGGAGGATGATATGCTGAATGATACGCGTGTACTAATCATCTCGGAAATACTTGGAGGATGATATGCTGAATGATACGCGTGTACTAATCATCTCGGAAATACTTGGAGGATGATATGCTGAATGATACGCGTGTACTAATCATCTCGGAAATACTTGGAGGATGATATGCTGAATGATACGCTTGTACTAATCATCTCGGAAATACTTGGAGGGTCATGTGCTGAATGATACGCGTGTACTAATCATCTCGGAAATACTTGGAGGGTCATGTGCTGAATGATACGCGTGTACTAATCATCTCGGAAATACTTGGAGGGTCATGTGCTGAATGATACGCGTGTACTAATCATCTCGGAAATACTTGGAGGATCATGTACTTTTTTTATTATTTGCTGTGTCACACTATTATATATATGTCACCAAAGTGTAGCCACACCCGACCTTTCAGCAAGCTTCAATTTGTTTCTCAAGTCTATCAAATGCCTTATTTTTCTTTTCCTTTTTTTTTGGGGGGGGGGGGAATAGAGGTTTGATATATCATACTTTGATCAAACTTTCCTTCTCTGTCCCGATTTGTTACCACCATATACCTGGTTGCAAGCTTCACTTAGTCCTGCTGCATATCTACATGGTTAGCCACCATACATCTAACTAAAGCATGGATGAATAAGCACTTCGTGAAATATTTTTCCAAGTTCAATTTCTTAATTCCTTTTCGAACGCAGCACTTAAGTGCACTTCTTCCATGTTTCCATGTTGTGGAAAGAGTATGGCGTAAACCTCTATATTCCATTTCCGCCATCTTTTCCATAATATTTTTTTAGCTCTGCCATAGGATACACGGTATCC